TAGGTATTTACTCTTTTGATCTTTATAACTGTAGATCTATTTAATAGATTATGACACTAAAGGTCCAGAAGTTGTATCTTGACTTAGTTTTCTCAGCTGGTGAGTCAAACTCAAACTTTCTGATTTCAAGTCTAGTGCTCATTTCACTATACCTCAGATAATATCAAATCAGTAATTTAACAATAAAAGATAATTTATGAAATATATGTTTATTTTAAAATATGTAATCTTATTTTACAGACATAAACCCCTTTCAAAATTCTTAGAAGAATGAGTTAGGATGTATGTAGATGCAGAAATAAGTATAAATTAAATGTCAATCAACATATGTACCCTTTTATAGATGATAGATCTATCCAGAGAAGTTTCAGGAAACATGACTGACAATAGCAAATTAAAGAAAAATTCTTTCTACTGACCACTGAGATACAGCCACCTCTGGCACATTCAGGGATAAGAACTTAGCAGGGTCTAAAAACCCTGGAGATACACACACAACACACGCACACACACGTGTGCACAGAGTGATAGATACTATGTATATACATGATATACATACTTATATATATATATATACATATGTATAAATTACCAAATCTAGGCTACAAGAGAAAACTGGCAAAAATTCACTAATTGAAATGGAACTTGGCCCAGACATTTATCTCTACTATCCCTTGTTCTGATTCCAAATCAGAGAGAGTACATGCTTTGTGTTTTCTGGTAAAGTACAGACGTATGCAACAATCAGCATATTTTCTCAGACCAGAGCAAGTAACCTCTAACAATGAGTATTTGTCAGTCCTAACTGGTTTCTATAGGTGGGTGGTGTGAAATAGCCTACTACAGTCATTCATTCTTTCCCTTGAAAGAATCATGTGTCTTTAAATCCCACCAGGAAAGGAGAGCTTAGTTATATGACTTTGGGAGACACAGTTAGTTGATCTTTGAGCTTTCAAAAGCTCTGTTACTCAATTAAGTGACCAATCATTAACCACAAAGTGTTTAGGCATAATAATGTAAGAAAAGAGAGAACAATGGATGCGTCTTTAACAGAAATCATATTCAGTTTTGAGTTAACTTTTCAGATCCTCTCCAAACAATTTACAAGTGTACAGATACAGGTATTTTTCAAAAGTAACTTTTAAAAGCAGGAAATACAATTTAAAAAGAACTTTAATTTTTTTTTTTATCTACCAAGAAAAACAAAACTTTGAAAGCTTACATAAATCCTAAGGGATTGTCTTGAATCTCATTCTCTTTCCACCACCCACAAGAAGATTAAGGACTGTGGACTTCCTGCTGGAGGAAGTAATTGCTCAATCGCTTTGGAATCCATTGGAATTTTTTGCAGTATTAATGGAGACAGGCATATACAATTATAAAATATTCCTTTCTTTACTTAGAGCTCAGAACTAGAAGTCAGGCTCTTTGATATCTTCTCCTTGTCACATTGCTCTTACACTTTCAAGGTACCTATTCCCCAAACTGGGAACAGCTTCTATCTCAGAAAACTAATTGTTGCTTCCATTGGTTTTCCTATTTTTATATTACACTCACAACATCCTATTTTAGGACTTTGTATGAATATTTCCACAATGGGTTTGGCACAATTACCAAGAAGTACTTAAAACAATTTAGGTCACAGGTTTTAGAAGAGGACAAAAAGAAAAGTGGATCAATTAGCTACAGAATCTTAGGTGACAGGAGAGATCATCAAAACCCAGTTCTTCCAAAATAAAACGAAGTAGGAAAATTTAAAACGAAGTTCTAAGTAGCTGCGTCTGGCCAGCTCCATGTTTCCCCAGCTCTCTCACTCAGTCATTTCACAAATAAGTGCTGAGCTCCCACTACAGGGCTGGACTCCAGCTAGGTCTCCTGATTGACGCACAGGGACCTCAGAGTTACACCCTCAGCTCTTTAATGTTTGCTCTCATGGAATTATATTAGTCCTGTCGAATGGCAATCTTTCGCCATTCTAGACGAGCTCTTTATGACAGTCTGGAACGTGATGCATCTTGTAATTGACTAAAAATGGTCTGCAGACCGACCTGAATGTATTTTAAAGTCAATATATGGAGCACAGTTTAAACTCGTCTCATTTTTCTGCCAAAAATAAAAAAGTTTGCTTAGAGTAAAAATTTACCTCCCCCCTGCCTCGAGGCAAAAACCCTATACTCCTCCTACCACTCCAAAGAAGCAAGAAAGAATCAAATAGCCTTTTAACAAGCGTGTTTAGCGCCGTCTGGATAGAAGTCGGGTCTGCTCCAGCTGCAGCCAAGCCCTGGCGCAGGGTGCACGCCCGCGGGGCTCGCTCAGCCAAGCCCGGGCCCCGCCTCCCCGCCCCGCCCCCATCGGCGTGGGCGGGTGGGGACCCCGGCTGCGCCGACTGCCAGTGCGGCTGTGTAGCTGTCTCGGAGCCTAGGGAGTCACACCCGTCTCGGGCGGGGAGCTGAAGCTCCAACCCACGTGGCGGCCGGTGAGCCCCGGCGCTGCGGGGAGCCGCGGCGCGTTTGGTCCCCCGGCGCGGGCGGCCCCCAGCCCCATCCCCAGTAGGCGGGGCTGGACCACCTCCGCTCGTCTTAGTTCCTTCCCGGCTCCATCCCCGCACGTCGCTCCAATCGCGTTTGTTATCGCTTGTAGGAGTAAAAAGAATGTCTTAAAACGAATCTCGAAATTCAGAGCAAAACCCCGAAATGAACCCTCCGGTCCGCTCCTGGCTGTTCGCCTGCATCTGCTCCAGCTCCGTTTCTTCTTTCCCTTTCCTCCACTGTCCTCTTTCCTTCTACTTCCCTTCCTTTCTTTTTCCTCTCAGCGCCTGCCTTCTCCCCTCTTTCCACTTTCGACGTGCGTCCTTAAGTTGAGGAAGTTTCAGCTTTGGATTCGGGGCCCTTCTTTTGCAATGTCCTGGGGCGGCGCCCTAGCATTGGCTTCATGCGGTCGTAGGCCTTGAAAGCAAGGCATCTTTGTACCGTCTTTCTTAGAGACGCCCCAGATTGCGTGTCCAGACCTCCCAAACCTAGAGCTGCCCCTGGCCATGCGTGTTCCTCCACTGAGCTGAAGACTCGACCCAGAACACTGCGTGCATTCCAGCAGACTCGCGAGGAGACGCCTCTGCACTTTGCACAGACAAGGTTCCTTTCTTTCCGGTCCTCCAAACCCTTAGACCTACGTCGCAGGTTCTGAAGTGGAAAACTAACGACAAAAGGGGAAGCTAGGGCCTTCCATTCTTGAACGTAAGGTTGTGAAAGCGGCTCGTTTTTCTCCACCTGTGCTGAATTTCTCCATTAGGGGGCACCCACATCCGCCACAAAACTCCGTATTCCTAGACATCTAGGTTCTGCAAGCCCGAAGCGCCCAACTGGGGGGCAGATCCGAAGGAGCGCACCGCCTCCTCGCTCCTCCCTCCGCGCCTGCCTCCGAGGACAGGGTAGGCAGGGATTTCACACTAGCCATTCATTTGTCAGCCGTGGGGGAGGGGACGCAAGAGCGAGAGAGAGCAGAGGCCGGAGAGGGGAAGGGAGGCAGAGAAGATGGAGAGAGAGGGAGACACAAAGATGAGAAACGGGACACAGATAGAGAGACTGTCTTTCTGCCGCGGGGTGCGCCCGCGGCGGGACAGCTCTCCAGGCACCGCAGAGATTTCTTTCCCTTCTTGCGGCATCTCTCGGGGACATGTGGGACTTGCCGGGGCGCGGCTGAATCCGAAAGCAAATAGTTTAGGTTTTGACACTATTTTTCTACCCTGCTCTCCGCTGCCTAACACCCTGACCGCTCCACGCCCAGTGACACGGAGAGCGAGGCAGAACAACCCGGATGCCCTCGGTCGGCACGCACCGGGGATGTCGCTCTGCAGCGCCCACGCCTCCGCAGGGCGTTGGGACGCTCCAGCCGAGGGCGTCCCCCGGGGCTCCCGGCACACGCTCTCCGCAGCCGCTAGACCCGCCAGTGAAGTTGCTCAACTAGAGGCGAGGACTGGGAGGGAGTGGGGATGTGGAATGAAACGGAGGACTGCTGCAGTCCGGGAGGGAGCGCTGCACCCAGAGGCTCCGGATTCGGGTCCCCGTGCCACCTTTGTCTGCAGTGCACTCTGAGTGCTGGTTTGCTTGTTGAGACAGGAGCTACAGCCCCCATTTCGCTCTTCATGGTGAGAAAAAATTCTTGCACATCCCTGCTGCTTCATGGCAAGCTTTTCCCGCCCAGGCGCCTCCCAGACCTCCGCGGGGCTCCAACAACCCCACCCCCATTCCCTACTCCTTCCCTGCTGGCCCCTGCACACCGCGCAGGACAAAAGAACCCAGGGGCACCGGGAGAGCGCCGTGACAGTCCCCAAGTCGTCAAAGAGACACTGCCTGGGGACTCTGCACCTCCCCCAGCCCAACGTCCCCTCCCAGACTGCCTGTGGTCTGAGGGGGTCAGGTCGGTGCAGGTCCCAGGCTGCTGGGGGCCGGGTCGCACTGTCAGGAGCTACCCGGGAGCGGCTTTCCAGGAACACCAGGCACTGACCACACACCAGGGACTGGGAAACCAGGTGGCCTGCTCCCAGGCGGCTTCGGGGACTTGTTTGTGAGCAAGTCTTAGTAGTCCTCATTCAAACTTTTGCCTCGAGCATGTTAACAACAACAACAAAAAATCAAGGTGCTGGAGGTCCCTCCCTCCTCTCCAGCTCAAGACCCCACGACTTTTCTAGCATTTCTCCACAATTCCCTTCCTTCCCTTCTCCCAGTTCCGTTAGTCCTTCTACCCCCACCCCACCCCGAGCTTCTTTTGTCTGGATCTTTTTCAGCCCTAAGATCCCTCTATATTCCTCTCCCCAAAAGCCCTTTTGAAAGTTACCTGCATTTTTAAAGTGCATACGTTTTCTTAATTTCGCCTTACATCTAGTTCTATTTACCTTAATTAAAGCCTGCTACCAATTGCAATGTACTTCTTTTTTCTCAGCTCTCGTTTTTTCTGTAAGTTTTTTTTTTTTTTTAAGGGGGGAACAAAAGAAACGTGATTACCTTGGAAGGCGGCTTATTGCAGTTTAGGGAAAAAAATTCACCGCAGCGCTGCGCGAATGGGCTCGGCGTTGCCCAGGCGGGTCACATAGGAAGCGCGGTGGCCTGGGGAAGGGTGCGGAGGGTGCGGGACGGTGCTGAAGGATGCGGGAGGATGCGGGGCTGGCCGCAGATCCCGGTCCCAGCTCTGTCCACAACACCTAATGTTCGCGGCTGTTGCCCCCGCGCGCCTGGAGTTCTTCCCCAGAAAGGCTCGGGGCAGCTCGCCTGCAAGTTCAAATGCGGGTTGTGACACCCATCATCATTATATCACTGTACCGTCAGCGCCGAGGAGGAGACTCAGCGAGGAGAAGGAGGAGGGAGAGGAGGAGGGTTCATTCACAGGCTCCAGAAGCGCTCCGCAGCTTCAGCCACTCCTAAGAGCCCAGGCTTGGAAAGCAGGCGGAGGGGCGGAAAGGCAGCTCCCCTCGCCTGCGGTAGGGACCGCCTGCCTCCCTCCCCAGGCACTCCCACCTCTCGGCGTTTCTTCCTGACAAGAAGTACCAATCGGCTTGGGGACAGCAGCGCTCCCCATTCAACAACTCACTCAGTAACATCGCGCCGTGCTCACGGAAACCACTGCCCTCCCACTCCTTCCCCACCCCCACTCCCCGCCCCCCGTGCAGCCAGTTCTGGGTTAGGGGAAAGGAGCCCCCAGGCTCTTGCGGGGAAGGCCAGCGAACAGACAATTGAAAGCAGTCAGCCCTTCTTGGGAGCATAGAAAACTCTGTAAAATCAGCAAAGAACTTGGGTACAGCGTGTTTACGCGCCCACAGAGCTTGCTTGTCCCATCTGAGGGAAGTGTCAGGCTCAAAGCTCCTGCCAACCTGAAAGAGAAACTGAGAAAACCAGATCCTTCTGAGACCTAGAGGGAAAGTGTAAGAATTCCCCCGCTGCCCTCCCAGGGAACTGCCCAATGGGGAGCCCGGCGTCATGGCACAATTCACAAAGACCCTGGTAATAAAGGGCTGGACAGGAAATTCCCCCAGGCAAATCCCTTGTTGGATTCAAATTGAACCCTCTTCCTCTGCCACAAATCTCTCTCCACATAAGTCTAG